TGTAAGTGAGAACGGCAACTTTTCATCATCGCGTCCAAATACTTGTTCGACAAGAAAACAAAATATAATAAATTGCGAATATTAAAGTTGAAAGATGATAAATGATGACGATATCAAATCCAAAGCAGGGTCTGAGTGTAGCCGAGCATTAACAGAATATACACACTTAGAGTCAAAGTCAGACGTCCCATCCCACGTCCATACTTATACTTCCCCTCATGGATAAAGTTACAACGCTTATAGCTTCATTGATTATATCAGAAGTAAACTAGGATGTGGGTGTGGATGCCGGTATTTATTCCCTTCATCAGCATCTACACCCAGACTGAAACAGGCTTTTACACAACCCGCTGAGGTCTATCCCACGGCAACAATCTCAAGCAAAAAGAAAGATTTTTCTTGAAGATTGTATATATTTGCACAAGATGCACTCGAATAGCTGTTTGATTTTGTGCAGAACAAAGTTGACAAGAAAATGAAGAACGATGCATTTCATTGAGTGTCGGTAGTTGGTTTTTTCCAAGTTGCAAAAATTAGTGCGAAACCAGTGTGCGCGTAAGTGTGGGTATGGCTATAGAGAAGAGTTCCTCACCCTCACCCTCACCCTCACCCTCACCCCAGACTCACCGACACTCACACACACACCCACACCATAATTTTCTTTTAAAGATTCATGCTATGAACGATTGCTTCAGAAATATTCTCTGAATATCGATACAAGATTAATGGATTTGATTTTTTGAAATCTATAAGATATTGTTATAAATTGAGCATTTGAAATTTGATCAACACACTCAATCACCTTTTGTATTTATTCGAATGTGAAACATTTTTTGATATCAGAGTGTTCATTCTCATCATATTGATTAGCAAATGTAAAAGTAGCATAAATATAACTTGTATTTCGTTAAGATCTATAAACAGCAATCAGAAACAAAATGATCAAAATAAACCATTCATTTATTAACTTCTGTTTTCAATATTCGAAATTCTCTCATCTATATCTGGATTTGCGTTATCTTCTTTTAATATTTATTTCTCTCGTTCGACGATCGAATCATATTTCAGCAGATTCAAAAACCACTGATCGATGGACACATCAATGCACCTCAAGGAAAGACGTCGTAGGTAGAGCGAAACTAATGTGATTAATAAATCTTAGAAAGATTCTTGAAAATCTATAGGTGAAATAAGGGGTTGATTTTATACAAAAAAAAAAGGAATGCAAATAATCTTCATATAGTGAATATATCCATATACTAAATCTTGAGATATCATAAATCTTGAATATGTCCTCATAGGTATACCAAGTTCAGTATATATTTTGAAACTATTCGTCTGATAGTCAGAAATTGTCATGGCCATCGGTCACAATTCGTATTACGTTTTATCGTATGCTTTTTCTCATCTGCTTGCATATTTTGCTTCTTCTTTGTTACTATGACATGCATTACTTTCTTGAATTCTTTTTTTTTCTCTTTGCCTCTTTTCGCTTTCAATTCATCCTGCTTAAAGAAGAGAAACATCATCAGTATGGCATTTGAGGCTAGAGAATGCGAATGTTTTTTGAAAAAAAAATAGCATGTGTCTTTCTTTTTTGTTTCGTTGTCTATTCTTTGGCACAAATAAGTGATATATGGTTGGAAAGAGCAATAAAAGAGGTATGGTCAAAAGCTTTAATCATTTATCGGTTATTGTGAAATAGATTTTCGTGCTCTTCTACTGTAGTTTTGTTTACGAATAATTGATTTATTCAGGCGTTTCCATAGTCATCGACCTACCTTGCTCAGTGCAAATTTCTACAACAATAACAAACACAACTATATATATATATCGGTTTTTTCCTGTTTTTCTTTGTTATCTTTTCTGATGCTGATATTGCAAAAGAAAGTGACTAATAGTTATCATTCCTTGGTCAGTTTATCGCCTTAATTTTCCCTACAATCATTAGAAAAGATATGAAAGAAGAAAAAAAGAAGCAGTTTGATAAATTTCATCCGAAGGACAGACTGTATTATGACACATCGCAAATATTTAACCATGTGTCTTTGAAAGTTGAAAGTCAAAGAGGAATGAATAATATGACAGTGGCAATGCATTCATAAGGCTTCGTTGTCGAAAAGAAAAGGTAGGAAAGCAAACAATAGTCAAAAGAAGATGAAAAACATCTATGTTGCTTTTTTTATCTGAAATTAAGCATAACATAGAAAGTCTCTTACTCATGCGAGATCAAATAAAAACTATTTCTAAGTTTAACTAAATTCAGATTTTTACTTAACTCATAATAAGTGGTAGTTCGAATTTCCTCTCTCGACAATACGAAAAGCTGACTTGTACCATGCTACCAAAGTTTATGATTCATTTCGCTGTGATGGAACGATTTCAATGGCATATAGGGTCTAAAATACATCTTTTCTAATGAAGAATCTCATCATAATTCTCGTCGAATTCCGACAACCATCGTATTATTTTTTCTGTATATTTCGAATTCTTCCGTGTTATGGACAAAATAGTATTTCAAATGTCCTTGGTTTATTGTTATATTTAAGAATATTTTCTATGTAGAACAGATATATATTTGCAGCCGTTTAATGGTGTTTGTAAACAGTATGTTCTTAATAATATGCAGTTGCCATGCAACAGCAGTCTCTATAGAATGAGGTCATCGCTGTAAAAAGGGCAAAGAATGACAAATATAGAAAGCGAGACAATGAAAAAGTGAAGGAATGAACATATAGATATAAAGATTTAAAAGATTATCATGTGGAAGAAAATTCGACGAATACGAGAGCTATTTTTGACATCTCACGTTTCATTCTTCTCTCGAAGTAAATAGAGTGATACAACACTTTCTCATTTACACTACCTCGACAATGAATTTTTTTCTTTTATTTGTGATCAATAAATATACATGGTAAACTTTGATTAAATATTCTGTTCCGATGCTATTGCATTAATACATTACAACAGTATAAATTAGAGAAAGAGAATGCGCATCGGTATCGTTTGAGAACATGCCAACAGCCAATAATACTTCATTTGCATGTTTCATTTATTCTTCGTCATGAATGACGGCATAATAGAGTAAAAAAAAACGATAATGCAGATAAGAACTTCCAAAACATTTGCAGTATTTTTTTTTCTTTTACTATTGACCATTGTTGTTCTTGGAATGAGACATAGTCGATATATCAGTAACACTATTCGTTCAACTTGATTTTCTTTTTAGATACATCGATGAATATTCATCCGATTATAGGTAAACAGCGTTCGGATATGTATGATGAGAATTTGCAGAGACCCAATATTTACAATCCATACTTACCATATTATGAAACGATAAAACAACAAGCATCGGTATCATTCGAGGAAATTCTAGAAAATCTATCACGTACCATTCAAATAGGTGAATTTGTTCCGGGCTTCAACATTTGGTCATACAAATTAGAACAATTCATTTCACTCTATGGATTTTTTTTCAACAAAATCAATCATATCAAACTTATTAAATTTTATGTCTCTATTCTTTCCATAAGCGATCTCAGTTGTGTTGATGCATCAATCTGTTTTCAAATGCTTACCACATTGTTGCAGTACGTAATGATTTGTTTATTTATGCATTACATAATGAAATCGAGTGAACTATTAAAACAATTTTATTTAAAATACTTTTCAGAAAGACTCGACTAATCAACCGAAATGATCTGACAATCGACTGGCGAACATTCTATCGATGGGCGAAATTCAGTATCGATGGCTATGATAGTGCATATAACTTGGTTACTTTACCTAAGTTAGTAACTCTTCATTGAACAATTGTAATAAGTCTATGATTATTTTCATTGCTTTCAAGAAATTTTGATCGTACAATTTTTCTGTGTGTGCGTCAATGTTCTTCGTACTTTTCAGCAACGGTTACTCAAGAAATTCTCGATGAAATTCGTCCACAATTATGCCCTGTCGATAATAGCTCTATGCATGACGCTATGAAACTACTCGAAAGTTTTTTACCAATCAATCTACCACCATCTCTACATCATCAAGGATTCAAGTATGTGTATTTGTTTTCAATTGTATTGATGTTCCATATATTGTTTCTCCTATGATAGATTATGGCTATCTGAGTTTTTCGGTATTTGGGACAGTGTCTATAATGATACACAATGGAGAATAGTAAGTTCGATGCATAATTTTGCTCACAATCTTTCATGATTGAATTAAGTGCATCATTCAACTTTTTACACGTCTTGCATGGAACAATATTGGCTATATCGACTGGGAACCATGGTTACCACAGGTCTTGCAGTTTTTTTTTTTCGTGTTCATTATTTAAGCTTTGATCTAGTAGATTTTTACACGTATTCTACGAGGTTTTTCACTTCCGATCGGGACTATGCAATTGTCTATAAACAAAGATACTCATTATGTCCCAGATATCTCACGATGGGTCATTGCAATGATAGGCAATGCAAGTTCTTGCCTTCAATATTTACGAGATTTATTGATTGCTATAAAAAGTTTCTATTATCCGTCAAATACAGGAAAATTTCAAAAAGGATTGGTCGAATTCGTGTTGAATATGGCTCGATATTTTGTTGATCGAATTCATCTGTAAATATGAACACTGATTGTATGATCTAAGTTTTTATTGATTGAGCATATTCTAGAGAACACAAAGTTTGTCCTGACTGGTACTTTGTACCACATGAATCCTATCGACTTACCGAGCAAGATATCACAAACTTTGTCGATTGTATCAAAGAATATGCACTTATGTCCATATTTAACAAGGATTATACAAAAGTGGCTGCTGAAGCTTGTCAATATTTGGCCATGCTTCGACCTGATTCGATTGTGTCACCGATTGTTGATAAGTCTGATACACAATAAAGTTCGATTTTAATTAATAAATTTCGATCTTTTTCGTTAGACTCTTATTATCCACAGACAATCTAATAGAAGCACATCGTTTTACATCGCTTCTGCACTGTCTAACAGGTATGACTCGTCAATTAGTACGACAAACATCGTCCTATTCTCAGGGACAAACTTATATTTTACCATTGCTCATGTCAATTTTACCCGGTATTGATTTAAATGATTTCGAAAAGACATCAGTAACATTGGAATTTCTCAATACCATTTTTATGTTAATCTCATGTGTTGATTGTTCTTCAGCAGTACATGTTCGAAATGATCTTAATGAGGTGAGATATGAATACTAATTTTGAACGAAAACAGAACAATAGATATGTATTTATTTCATATAGATTGAAAAAGAAGTTTGTCTATCCACTGCAAAATTTGAAGATTTTATAGCAAAACTTCTCGATCGAATATTTCAAATGATTAATATACTATCAACGGACATATCGGATGTTGTGATCAACAATGGAGATCAAAAAGATTATGATATGTTACAAGTGAAATTAACATCAATAATGACCAATATTCTACAACAGTGTAGTAACAATATTTTTCAAGTATGTCTCTGATCAGATCGATCTTTTTTTTTGAACTCATTCATCGTTAAACTTTATCCGATAAGCACTTCTAAAGTAGATAAAAGATTTTGATTCTTTCCGAAAACAAAATACAGCAAATCAATTTCTAAAAGTTGCTTACAAATCATCATAACGTCTAATACTATCTATATGTATGTGTATGACATTTAGATGGTAACAAAAGAAATAACACATTTTATTACTGGTTCAATTTTTTTGCCGAAAGTGAGACAACTAGTCGCTGGACTCGTTCGAGCCATTGTCAAATGCCGTCCAATTGAAACGTTGAAGTACCTCTTACCCCAAACATGTGAATCAATCGAAAAGATCTTAGATCAAACCGACATAACTCTTTTAAACGATCATAATGGTGATCTAGAACTAACTTGGTATTTGACTCTGTTCGCTGAATTAGTTCAAGCACGCGGTGATACTTTACTTGCTTACCAACAAATGATTAAATCAGTCTTTCATCGATCTATTCGAATACTTCACAAAGATTCTTATGAAGCTATCTCTATCGCAATCAAAAATTTGCTTCGATCACTTTTGAATGTTTATCCAACAGAGTATCGTCTAAATAGAGAAAATTTCGATGAGTCATTTGTTAATGTCTTACCTATTCGAGTAAGTTCTTTGTTTTCTTTCTCTCTCTCTCTAATGTTTCAATTATTAATATAAATGTTCAGACATGGGGACAAAATGTTGATTTCAATCAAATTCAAGTTCAATATCACATTCCTAATGTTGATGAAATCGATTTTGCTTGTGATTTTGTCAATACATTTATCTATTCAGAATTAGCATTATTGAAAGAGAACTTTTCGAAAATTTCGAAAGATGAACGACAAAGATCGCTGCAAATTATTTATAGGATAGTCGTTGGATGTTTCCGCATCGTACCACGTATCGAAAGCAAACCAGTTCAAGATCTGTAAGTATATATTGCATACAAAAGAATAGTATTCCAAAAAAAACAGTTTCAACACTTGTCATTATTGCAGTTTCTTGTCAATGGTTCCTTGTGATTCACAAAATCATAGTCTTTATCCAATCTATTACCAACAATTCAATTCGAGTATTTACTCTTCAATAAATATTCATTGTTAAAATACGAATTTATTTTTTGTTGTCTTAGAATTTCAAGAGAATCTACGAATGCGTCTTCTTCTTGACATAGGCGAATTACTCGGTAAATTTTCTACAAATTAATCAAATATTTCACGATTCTCTTTAGATGTGCTAATTGAAAATCAATCGGATGATGTCTTATCAATAAAACGTGCTCTTCTTGTAAGTATTGATTATGTCATTCGAAAGTCTATAATTAAAACGAATTCGTAGACATATGCATTATCATCTGAATACTATGGTGTATTTTCTAATGATCTTTCTCAATTGCGCAAATATGTTAAATCCATAAGAAAATTGTTTCGAAATGAAATTATTGGTGAACGAGATAATCCACATTGTCTAATAATCAATCAAATTATACTACAAATCGAAGTATAGTCACGAATATCGATATCAAAATTGTGGAAAATTATTTTCGCTTATGATTAGGAATTCGAATGGCATAATAGTCGAGGATTAACGGAAATTGACAAACAAGTCGGATTGAAATTATTCGATCTATCAATCAATCGATATAGTGAAGTAAATGAGTATTGTTAAGTATCAATCATTTCTATTCTTGTTATAGGTACGTCGCTTTGCTCAAGAGGAACTCTTCTTCTTTCTCAATTACTATTTCCTTTCATTCAATATTATTGTTGATCGTATTGCTGAAGTGCTCAATACATCAGATGAAAGCAATGAGAATCAAATCAAGGTTCTTTCATTTATTTTATTGACATACTATTTTTGCAATCATATAATATTAGAGTTATCTGCATATTCTTTTGGGCAATAATAACTTCTTCTTGCCGACGAAACACTCATGGACAATGATGAAAAAATTATGGCCATTGATTGTTCGTCGAAGTCACACGAAAAAACCTAGTATACAAACTTTGATTCAAAATGTAAAGAAAAATATAGAACAGAAATTCCTTACAATTCCACTCATCGACAATACCAATCAGACAGCCGAATGTGCTGCAGTGGCTCTATGGCACCCATTAGAACCAAGTGATATGGAAATTGGCATGCAAATGCGAGAAAAACGTCATCAAACAAATATTCAATCATACAATGAATTGATCGATGCGCTATGTTCACTAGTTAATGATGAAGCATTGCAAGTGTTGCTTTATGTGATTTTATTTATTTTAATTGTTTTTCTTGGGAATTTTTCAGAACATGGGGACAAAAACAGATGGCCATGTCTTTCTTATGTCTACTCCTTCAAAAACATGTATCTTTACCATCGTCATATATTGACACTTGTATTGATTTTCTCATTCATGATAATATTGAATTAAGAAAGGTTCGTTGAGAAAAATTTGTTTTAGTTAATTAATGAAAATTTTTGTAATTCAATTTATTCAGTATGCTGTCAAAGCGACTGCAGCTTTTTGTCGTTTACAAAAACCACCTCAAATTTATGTTGAAAAATCACTCGAAGAAATTCTTCATAGTACTGATCAATCGATAAGCATGGTCGTCAACGATCCATGTAAACCAGGCGATCGTGATGATAATTTATGGATAACATATAATGATTATAAATGTCCTAAACTACAAACGGAATGGGAACAAGCGTGCTTCTTGGATAAAGTATTTCATGGTTATTATCAATGGCCAAAGATGATCGAATATCCAGTAAATAAATGCGAATTTTACACTCGTGATCAAATGCCGAAACACGTATTGATCATCTTTGATCGTTTTCTTGACAAAAATTTTGTAGCAAAATTTACTAAACTTATTATATATGATGAAGGTACGATTGACTTCAATAAGACTCGATTTTTAATGTACAAGGTAAATCAAATAATTTTGTTTCAGATCATTCGAGTTTTCGAAGAAGTTTCTTTTGATACTTTATATGAAAATAATTGATTATTAAGGGTCTCTTTCGTAATTTTGGCCTGGCATTGGTTGAAAATTTCATCGAACAGTCATACGTACTCATTCGTGAAAAGATACAAGAGAAGTATGAAGGTAGTCATCGAGCAGCAGCTGAAATTATAGCCGGCATGATTCGTGGTTCAAAATATTGGTCATTAGAAATGGTCAGTAAAATAGCTTCGATTTCAAGAGATCCTATTAGAAAATAATTACAAAAATTATGTACAGAATTTAATATGTATATTTATAAATCTATTTCAATTTAGTTAGATGAACTTTGGCAGAAACTCACACCACTTCTCACTGAAGTTAGCGTCAATCTTAACCACGAAACATTTTTCCATTGGGGCTCTTGTATTCGATACTGTTTGGTGAGCTATTTTTTTTTGTTTGCTACTTGAGATGAAGATTAAAATTCGAACAAATGATTGTTATATTCTGAAAGAATAACACAGATCCTCGTCGAATGTGTCGACCAATCCAATTCATTTGTACATTGATCGATCAACAAACAAGCGTCTCTGCATTCAATGAAGCATCTCGTTGGTATCTAGTTCAATGTCTTCGAGTTTTTCAATGGCGTGTTCCATCTATTTGGCATTTGATTCATGAAAAAGCGAAAGAACTACTCGATCATCCATCGAAATGGATACGAGAACGTATTGCTACGTAAGATTATTTTCAATTGAATTTATATTTAAGCTCAAACTATTTACTCTTATTTTTTTTGTTAGTGTATTGTCGATATCATTTGGACTCAATATGACATTATTTGATGGTAAATCAACACGCCATCCCAATGCCAATCAATTTATCGATATGATACGTGAACGATTGCATCAAGCCATTGAAATCTATCAAAAGAAACCACTTAGTAAGAGATTAGAAAGTTTTCTTTTTCGATCTTTAGAAATGTCAGTTTTGTTAAAAAACAAAAACATTACTTTTAGTCAATATTTCCGGCTCAAATATTGAACTCGATGTTGAAGCTCGTCAAGCATTGAATCTAATCGAAACAGGTAAAATTATGGTATTCACACTTGAAATATTTTCTTCGGATATAATATAGTGATTGATATACATTCAAATTTATTTATACGAAGTCACCAACCAATTAAGGAAGGCATTATTCGTTTATTTCCATATGTATGTTTATTGAGATATTTTCGTTTCTGTTAAATTTGAACTGTCATACATGTACGTACATATATTTTTTATTTAGCTTTGCCAAATTGAAAGTATTGTTACCAATGATGACGACTTTAAAAAACGTTTAGCATTTTATCGTATGCATGTCGGTATGGCCTATTTAAATGCACATCTATTAGAAACACTTATTCAACAATTGGAACACGTATACCTTATCAAAATCATATTCTTGTTTTTTTTTTAAATTTATTTCTTACTCGATACATAGGTTTGTACGGCTGAAAAGTGGCATGCACGTCGAGGAGCTATTGAATTCGTTCAAAATATGGTCTTTTGTAACTTATTCAATGTTCGATGTCATGCTAAGCGATTGCACGAACTTGTATTCAAATCTTTGTTTGATGAACAACTAGAAGTACGATTAATTGCATCGAAAACCTTGTCAGGTTTATATCAATGTTGCTATATTTTAGTAACTGAGAACGATCTAGTAGGATGATTTGATTTTCTTTTTTTGTTAAAACACATTGTAATTTATTTCCACCATCAAAGAAACATTTTCTCAAGATGAGCAATATCGTTTATTTTACGATAATCGATGGCAAGAGAGTGATGTCGACGAAAGATATTGCCAAAAGACATGGTGGTGAGTATTTATCGATGGAATTTCTTATGATCAGAATGATTTGTGTTCGTAATATTTCCACTGTTTCTTCTTTGAGATTCGAGTGAATTTTTCTTATTACTAACAGATATACCTTTCAGTTCACTACAAATCGTTACTCTTAGCTCAGCGTACATAATCCATTCTATATTTCTACACATCAAATCACTGTCGAGATATGATGTGCTTCCAATCTATGCTCTGAATCGTTTCCTCCGAAATAATACAATCTAGTAGGTTCGCTTCGAACAGTAGATATTAATATAGGTCATTCTTGACACACTGTTGCTTTGCTCGACGAATATTCATTAAATGACTCGAGTCTTTTACGTAAATAAACTAATTCATCGACACTTGTAATAAAACATGACTCCTAAGCGATTTTATTAATTAGTCACTAATTGTTCTCTCATATTTTATCCATGAAAATATTTTGTGAAACATAATACGAAATGGGTATTGAGTGATACTGCTAGAAATTTCGACTAACCTTCTCTTCTTTAGCATAGACTGTGGCAGGTATGTACTTTTGAAGAATAAGGAAATATGGTGCATCTTTTTTCTCAAATATGTTCAATTGAATGTTAAGAAGAATGAAAAATTGAAAAGACTAAGAGCATGTAGCTTTGTGAGACATTTGTTACTTTTCGAAAGATACATTTCTGTCATTTTAGGTATTTTGGGTCTTTGTTCTATTGTTCTTTCGAGTCCATATAATGTTCCGAGTTATGTACCAGATGCCTTAATGGCTCTGTGCAAACATTCACATGATCCTCATTTAATTCAAGTGAGTCAATTTTTATTTGCTATTCTGAGAATCAATTGGGTTTTTGTTATTCTAGAAATCGATCAAAGAATGTATGTCTGAATTTCGTCGCACACATTATGATTCTTGGCATGAACATCGAACAAAATTTACTGATGAACAACTTGAAATTTTAGCCGACGTTCTCGTTTCACACGGTTATTACACTTAACAAAAAGATTTATAGGAACAATCAAATACCATAATTTTCATTGAGTAAAATTTTCTTTCTATTAAACACGAACGAAAAATATCAAATCTAGTTTAATTTGACTTGTATATCAGATAGGTGATCATCATATATTCGAACCTTCGAGTGATAATTGGTATCTTTTCATTTAAAATAAAGACTAAGTCTCAGCAACAGCATGAATTATGTTCAAGAATTACAGATGAAAAATACAAGAAAATAGCATTTCGACTATCTGAAATTTTCTCTTTTTCACTAAGATTTTAGTCAAATGAATATATGTGTCAATACAAACACTTGTTTGACTAGTGGAGATTTCAAAACTCTCTGCTAAATCCCTCAATCAACAACAATCATAATTTGAATTCGAATTATTTTTCAGCTCTCTCGGTTGCACGCATTTCACTAAGAACTGTTCAATCAATGAAAAAACATTGAAAGAATTGTCACTACTCGCGTTCCACGATCTTTGGTTTTTGCTCATCTAATTAACGGGGTCTAGGTGTGAGTACGTAGCAAAATGATCATAGAGAAAAAAAGGAAGATATGCCAATACCGGTAACCCGACTTAGGCGAAGAACAAGCAAACAGAATTGTTGGAAATGGCAAAAACGAAATTCACAACAATAAAAGTACAAAAAAACAAAACAAGACATAACAACACAAAGACAAACAGATGGAGAACTGCACAATAACATAATGAATACATGAACCAGACATAGGGTGTGGGTGTGCACTCCCTAAACACCCACACATTCTTCCAGCATAATTATCGTATTTTATGAAATACGTTTTTATCTTTAGTTATGATGAAAAGATTTCAAAATAAAAATATCTCTATATAATAGCTTCTCCCTAACTATATCTATTGCAAGAAGAATTGAATGTTAAACATGGAGACAGTATTATAAAAAGGATTAAATGTTTTTTCGAATCACCTTGTATGTATTAAGAAGATTAGTTCTTAATTTTCGAGTTTTTGTGAGTGTTGGTATATTTTATAAATACTCTTTCTTTTCTTATTCATTCATAAAAAGCCTCACAAACAGATGGTTTTAGTTCTCACATGATATAAAAGGCTGATTTCATTTGCTTACGACACGTTTCTAACGTGCGCACACAAAATTGAAGAAAATGCAACTATTACTTGTCAGTTGGACAATACTTTTGATGACCAGTCCTGTTATCGAAAGTAAAGCGGAAGTCATTGTGTGGTCGACAGAAACACGAATTGACTTACTTGTTTCTCGAGTTAGTAAACTCGAACTGGCCATGAAAGCAGTCGAGCAATCGATACAACCACGTATATGCAAGGGCAATGTAACATCGGATCAGTTTGAAGTACACGATGCTGAATCGGACTTCATCGAAGGTCTGCGTGTGCAGGTCAATACCAGTGCGTGTCGATTTACCCGAACACCAACCTATTTTGCCACTGTGAGTGGAAAATCGGCCCATTGGGGTTTGCTAGGATCATCAGCTATCTATATGCCAACGGCTACACAATTCATTATCTACCTTGGCAATATTTGGCCACAATACCATATAAGTGGACAAACACTATTGACTGAAGCGCAAGACGAAAATTATAAATGGCAAATTGACTGGATCGGTATTGATTAACAAGGCACTCTTTTTTGTCGTTATTGAGTAAATAAAAAAATAAATAAAATAAGGACAACGCGACCTATTACATTCTAGGACTTGTGTGAGGGTGAATTCGAGCTGCCATCATCACGACATTTCAACTTCGTTGATAATAAAGTTGAAATATTCTGATGATGGCAGATCATACTCAAGCCCTTTCTTACGTTATGAGCTGTCAAAAACAATAATACTTCGATCATGTAAAACTCATACAATAGAATTTTTAATGGTTTAACCAAAAAACATTTTACCTTTTCGATCATGAAAATGCGTTCAAGTTATATAATATGTAAAAATGCGATAATTTCGTGTGTCTTTAATGCATTTACATGATAAAAAAGAGGCAACCTATTTTTTCGTTAAATCGCCTGTTATTTTTACACGGGAATGACGCGAGAAATGTTTTCCTTTGCATTTTCGAATGTGTACAGACTAAAGAATGTGACGTTGACCATTGACTTTGGTCTCGAAGAAAGATTTCAATGAGTTCGGAATTTTCTAAAAAGAATTTTGTAATATAGAAGGCGATCTCTGAAAACCTTTTTTTTTTCAATAAATCTAGAGGGTCCAATATATATATTTCAAAAACTTGTTGACAATACTAGCTCATAGATTATTTAATTCTATTTAAAAAAAAAACATTCAGATTTGCATTCTCTATCGACTGACATGATTAACTAATTTTTTAAAATACATTTCGAATTCGTCTTCAACAATGAAAAATAGTCTTTTCAGTGGGAGAGAGAGAGAGTAAAATGCCTATAGCTTTTTTATAACAAGAATGATTTTTCTAGAGAAAAGTATAGTACATCGAGAGAACGTTTATGCTGTTTTAGTAAGTTAAACAATAGATCGTTTTTGGACGTTTTTTTTAATTCTTATTTGCTATTGCTTTTTAGATGGTAAGCACTGTGGAAATATTTATCCTGCCTCTAATACATCACAAGATCTTGTAGAGTTTCATATTTTTAGTGCATTTTTATTCGTCAGTATACTAATTTGTATGTCTATTCTTGTATTAGTGTCAAGTCTTACAATTCCATTCAATTTAAGAATACTACTCGATCTACAGTAGTAATTCTGTAATTAACAATGGTTGCATTATATAATTAGTATACACATCAATTGAGCCTGATGTCATTCTATCAAAATGTTTAGAAGAGACACTACAACGTATAGGGCACTTTAATTTACAGTGTCTAGAAACACAAAGTCTGTTCAGAGACGTCACACTCGACAATCGAATAGATTTAATACAACAGTGACTACCAGAAAATGATAATTGTAATGTTAGAAGAGCAACAGCAACTTTAGCTGAATAACAAACTTTAAGTTAATCGTCATTTTTCGATGAATTTATGCGAAGAATCAATGAGAGAAGGGAAATGCTTTCAGGGAATTATTTTACTCTAGGGGGCGGATGTTGATGTTGATGTTTGTCTTCTTTTAGCTCAGACTCACACTCACACCCTAGTATAAATAAAACCTATCTTGGTAGAGTTATGTTTAAAAGAAGTTTCTGTGATAAGACAAAAGAATACTATAAATCTTATTCGAGTTTTTATGCGTATTGCTTTAAATGTGAACCAAATAACCATAATAAATATGATAGAAAACTTTGTTTATTGTAAAATGACGTTTTCTGCTGAGAGAAACTTTAATATCCGGAATAAGAGATTAAAAACTAATATGAAACTTCGAGAAAGACTGGATAGAGTTTGACCCTTTAATCTACGCTTTTTAACAGATACTCGCTAGCGAAAATTGATAAAATAACATATTCTTCAATATAATCNGATATCCATAGGTCCTCCAGGGCTATCCTATAGGGATGCCCATAGGTCCTCAAGGGCTATGCTATGGGGATACCTATAGGTCCTCCAATGCTATGCTATGGGGGTACCCATAGCTCCTTCAGGGCTATCCTATGGGGGTACCCATAAGTTCTCAAAGGCTATCCTATGGGGATACTCATAGGTCCTCAAGGGCTATCCTAGCGGGGTACTGATTGGCTATCAAGGGCTATTATATTGTGATAGCCATAGGCCCATAAGGGAGTAATGCAATAGGGAGATAAGGCTGCAAGGAATATAAGGTTATAAGGTCGAAGGCTACATGGCCTATAAAAATATATGCGATATGAGAGTATGAGGCCGTGGGGCTATCTCTCTATATACATAATATCGAGTGTCTGTATGTATTTTACCGGATGAAAAGTTAAATGTCTGAGGTCATGCGTTAAAGTATTAAACAGCCGTGCAGTATGCACGGGTTCTCGCTAGTAATGATTATAATAATAAGAATGCTTACTTAAGACAAGCAAATAAAAAAAGAAAGTGATGAACGAGTAGCAACGATGCTCGTAGAAAAAATAAAATTTTCTGTTCGAAAAGCAAAAACTAGAGAGGTTCTTACTCTGGTGATCGATTATCCTGCAAAACAACTATAATCAGCAAGAGACTTTCCACTTTACGTGTTTTGTAAAGTTCAATGAAGCTAAAGAACATATGTGAGTTCCACATTTCAGCGCGAAATGGGTTTCGCTAACAAGTTTTTTTTTTACATCGCAAAATCTGAAGAAATTATGTTAGATCAATTTTTTTGTAAAAAAAAATTAATTTCGCTGTACTACCTTACTTTTCTATTTGATTACATACAACTGTGATGAAGAACAGCTAAAACAAAATTTTACTCTGCCATTCTGCCTTGCGTTCCGTTCTGGTCGAGTAATATCGAAAATTGCCTTTCTAACGATTGAACAAAATGTGGAACAATAGAGAAAAAGATAAGAGAAATTGTGCTTCATCCAAAAAATGATTAAACTCGCTATATCAGAAGTTAATAAAACTTGTGTCTTTGCTCTTTTGGTTGTTTTGGCTTTGATTCGGCATTAAACTCTTTTTTATCGTCGTTTTCGTATTTTTAAAGGATTTTAAAATTATTTGCTCCTTCAATTAATTAATTTTTAGTATAAATCATCTAGAATTTTTCGGATTTTCGATTTTATAGATTTGTGGAGTTCACTAAATCCAATAAAAAAATGTGAGAGTTCAAGTTTCAACTTCTGCTTTTTGTATCTCTTGATTTAACTTTCGATTCAAACTTTTCCCCCGAAAAATCAAGTCGTACAGTTTCAAGTGATCAGAAAAAAAGCCTTCTTCACTACAGAAATACGAAATTTTTTTTTCTCTGTTAATTTTCGTTGCTTTGATTGTGAAGGAAGTTTTTCTTTAGCTTGAAGAAAATTTTGAAATTCTTTCTAACCTCTGTTACACTCCTATCAACATTAACACTTTTTAACAGAATTCTCTAGAGTCTGAAAGAAAAAGAGAATATCAAATCTGTTGATTTAATGTTCTTCAATTTATTTCTAATTGTTTTGGAGCATATTACTTTACTTCATGTATAATTAATTTAATTGTATTGTAGCTTTGTATTTACTTCACGTCAATCGAATATGAATTTAGAACTCACTTATCTGTTTCAACAAATTGATGATGCAATCAGTACAGCATCGTCACTAGAATATGTCGATAAAGCATTCAAAGATGCACTACAGTATATTCAAGATAATCTCGAAGGTGAAGATGAAGCACAATTCAATCAAGCAAAACAACAATATCATTCCAAAAAGTCCAAATATTTATTATTAATAGGAAAACAAGAAGACTCAAAGAGAGAAGAAAACCTTTCTATACGTTATGGCTCTAAGGTACAATCTGTACAAGAGCCGCCGACAACTGACGATATCACAGTTCAATCTTCAGAAACACTCATTTTCAATAATATAATGTATCCACAACATTCAGCTCTCTCCTATGCTACATCTGCAGTCCAAAGATGTTCTACAGACTTAAAACAAATGTGTTTAGATTATGCTCACATGAAACCAATCATTAGTGATTTAGAAAGTCTAATTTATACTTACATTGTTGATAAAATTCAATCATATGAAGAATATAGTGTTCTCGATAATACAGCATCAAGAATACGTCTAGTTTTAAATTTACTCAAGAATCAAATAACAACATCAACAGCTACAGTTGAATCGAAAACAACAGCGTCAGATAACGTAAGTTATAATAGTGACTCAGACATCGCTGCATTCGCTGGAGCTTTTAGTATGACTGTGGATCAGTGTCTTATTGAGTATCGACGAACTCTCTGCTATTTTGTTTTATCTCAAAGTAACAATGCGATGAAAATTCTCTTTTCTAACGTTCCATTTACAAAAGAACGTATTGTTTCACATGCAAGAAAACTATGTCTACTATTTCATCCGGACAAAGCTGATGAATGTGATAAAGTTGATTTTCGTGAGGCTTTCGATTGTATCACTCTCTGTAAACAAAAGCTGCTAGATGAATTAACTAGAAATGGCGATATAAGTGATCGTGAACTTGTAAATCGCCATCAAGCTGAAGGAAAAAAATTATGGGAAATTGCTAGAGATTATAGTCGAGCTAGAAATGGAGAATGGAAGAAGCTAGTCCATTTGTGTGAAAATGATTTAAAAAGTCATACAGATAAGGATTTAGAACAGTGTCAAATATCCTATGCAACACTTGCATATGAACAATATCGAGCGGCAACCATTGCTTTAGGTAACGGCGGAACAGTAGAGGAACGTAGTGAATTGAGGCGCATGATGGCTATAACTCTTTACACTGGAGAACAATTGTTACAAGCTCAAATTTATACGATAGCAGCAATGCATATTCTGGTGCAAAATACAGGAAAAGCTGAAGTTGAAAAACTCAATGCATTGCAAAGTTTGTTAGAAAAAATTCGTAGTCCAAAGGTTCCGAATGTGACAGCCACAGTAACTCCTGCACAGGTCGTTCCTTCTGCTTCGGAACGATCGAATTCACGTGAGCTTGTGAGTGTGAATGTTGGAGAGTTATCTGTATTGAGAATGAAAGCCCATATAAAAGAAGAGCTCAGAAAAGTTGTAGTACAACAGTGTTTGATTACATGCAAAGAAAAACAAGTTAAAACATCTGAAGAGTTAATACTAACAGCGAAACGTAAAGCTGCTGAGCACAGAACGACAGGTGTAGTATTACAAGTCGGCAGTGTTGCAACAGCGACAGGAATGGTGGCAGCTGGGTTTAGTAACACTGTTACTGCAATATTTATAGGATCTGCATTTGGTGCTCCAGGCGTTGTTCTCGCGATAGGAGCTGGTGTAGGAGTAGTAATTGGTGGTTTGATATTAGGAAAGGATATTTTTGACACGGGTAGTGCCCTTTTAAAAGAACCTACCATACGAGAGAAACTTAATATTAAACTGAATTTAGCTCTTGAACATCATAAGAAACAAATGTATGGTGCTTTTTTAGACGAATTAGCTGCGGAGTATTTTACTGGCTCTCGCTTGATTCGAATTGAAAAAGATGGTAAAACAATAAAAATAGATGTAAATCCAACACAGATTGTAGTGGAGCTCTTAGTACACGAATTTCGACCAGACGGTGTCGCTTATTTATTGAATTTGATAGGTGAAACTTTACTTAATAAGCCCGTTTTGATGCATGACGAAAAAGACTTTTTATCTCTACGACAGCCACCATTTTCGACTATGAATGAACTAGCAATAAAGTGTTTTTCTGAAGTTTTTTCTGAAAATTCTTCTCTGTTAGACAGGGCCAAAGAATTAGACCGTCAAGTACAGAAGAAAAGTTTAGAAGATGCTGAAGTTAGGTTTTTTACAAAAATTGTAGAAAGCATAAAATCTAAATATTCAGCTTATGTTTATTCTATACCAAAAGAGTATTTTACAGATGCGCTTCGTACACCTTACACTACGCGTCTGCAAGAATTAGGTGATATAGCTCGCTTAAATTTTGCTATTGTTAATATCATAGTTGGAGGTATAGATAATTTTGAAGAGAGTCAAGAAGCTGTACTAGAAGTAAAACGTCGACAACTGTTAACTGCACACAATCAATTCTTTATGATATCAGATACTTTGGTGCAAGCAATCGATGACCTGTTGATGGCATTCGGTCTGACTCCGAAACCATTAGTTGATAAGGATATTCTAGCATTAGAGGATAGTGTTGTACTTGAAAGCATTCAAAGAATTATAGTTAACAGTATTGCCATAGAATGTGAAAGTGTTTATTCAACTCCTACCGTGTCACAGCAGTTAGAAACTTTCGGTAGACTAAGTGATCCTCCAATTATTTTGTCGCAAGAAGAGTTTATTGAAGGAGTTCAAGAGTTGTCTGAGAAAAACGGTAGGGACGAAAGTATTAAAATAAATGTAGCTGAACTTTTGAAAGCAGATAAAGTGCTCAATCTGCAAGATTGGAGCATGTACTATTCTTTGGACGAAAGATGGGTTTTAAAAGCGGCTCATCTACCGTTTTTATCAAAACTGTTCAATTTGACGATTTATTCTAGTTCTGTAACAATACATCCTACTGATGGACGTTTTTTTGTTGCAAAAGACGTTCCTCATACGACTCTACGTTTTGAGTCATCTGTCTTTGCTGTGCTGGATAACAATAACACTCATATAATTGGCGTTGTTAAAACTTGCGACTTAGGATTAAATAGTCTGTATAATGACTTACAAATTGCTAGTACAAACCAGAAAAAAATTGAAATTCTTCGGAAAATAGCAACTCATCATCGTTTAAAAGCTGAACATTTTGAAAAAATACATCGTTTACAAGCACTGCCACATTGGCATGAAGCCAAAAAGAGTTATACTAAGGTTCTTAAATTAGATCCAAATAGTTTAGAGATGTCACTAGGTTTTGGACGATGTCTCTGTATGTTAAGTAAGCTTGAGACAGCGGAGAAGTTTCTCCGTAAAACGCTAGCTGCACATCCGTGTTCAGCTGAAGGCTGGTATTTACTAGCCTTAACAAAGCGTAAGCTTCATGTATACGATGAAGCAAACTATTTTATACAGAAAGCATTGGAAAATGATTCAAGTTGTAGAGAAGCGGTTGAAGAATCAAATGTTATTAAGGTATTACAGTCAGAAAAAATGTTAGATCGTTTAGAAGTATACAATCGTATGAAATCTAGTCGCAAGGCAGCATCGGCTAATAATTCGTCAGATTTTAATGTTTTGACGATTGATGGTGGGGGCGTCAGAGGAATCATGCCCGCTGTATGGTTAGCTGAACTTGAGCGTCTTACAAAGCGTTCTACTGCATCGCTCTTCAATATGATGGCTGGAGTTTCTACTGGTGCAATCCTAGCCGCAGGTTTATGTACACCAGGACATGATAATGTTCAAGAACCACGGTATGCAGCATCTGATATTGTTAAACTCTATGTAGCTGATTCGAATCAAGTTTTTCAACGAACAAAAAGTTGGTTACCGAACTCCTGGCGGCAGTTGTGGCAAGATGTAAAGTATACTGACAGTGGACGTACAGATTTGTTTGCTCGTTATTTTGAAAATATGCGTGTATCTAGTGTCTTAACAGAATTAGTAATTCCAGCTGTTAAGAGCGACGGTAGAGAAACATACCTTTTCAACAGACACGATTGTCGTGCCTCGACTCAGCACAATTATTTTCTACGTGAGGTCTTAATGTGTACAACAGCTGCTCCAACTTATTTTAAGCCATACGTACTAGATGAGTCGCATTATGTAGATGGTGGAGTTCAAATGAATAATCCAGTGATTGCTGCATATAATGAATGTATTCGCTATGGAGTTGCGCACGAGAATATATTTATACTTTCTCTAGGAACTGGTGACTATGTTCCCGATCCTTTACATCCCGGCGCTGAGCGTCACTTATTGTTTTATGTGACGCATCATAAAGAAATACTCAATATGATTCTCGACGGTCCCCAATATAACGTTGACGTTCACATGATGTCCCTTATGGGTAAAGAAAAATACCAGCGTTGGCAAGTTTGGTTTGATAAACCAATTGAGCTAGATGATATTGAACCGCCATCGATTGAATTACTGTTTGAGAATGCGCGCGCATACTTTGAAGAAATGGATGCTTATGATAACGATAAACGTTTAGGTTTATTGCTAGATAGACTGAGAGGTGACGTACATTGAAGATTAGAGTGAACCGCTTTACAAACAGAATGAAACTTGTTGTGATAGGTGAAACAATGCAATCTTCTATAGCATTCAAAACATTACTTTTACTAGAATACTGTTTTCAACCTTTTCAAACTGGCAGAAAGTTCGTCAAACTTTTTTTCTCTGTTTTATCTTTTTTTAAATGTGCTCTCTGAGTTTTTTGTCACTGAGTTATGAATACTTCTGTAGTTTTACTGTGCTCAGTTTTGTTTTCCATTCGTCTGTTTGATCATATCATATACAAGAACAAACACTCTTTGTGTAACTCTTTTCCAGTGTGATTTTTTTTTATCAACGTTTCCGTTTTGTTTTTCAATAAACCTGTGCCGATAAAAGATAAACCAGATGCAGATGTACATTTAACTGTCCATAAGGATGGTAATGAGAATATCATTATTACAGAGATTCAATGACATGAAAATGCCGCTAGTGTCATCTTTGGCTACAAGGGTGTAGGTGTGGGGTTTGACTTTGGAATGCGACTGTGCGCGCCGCTGATGGCGTGGGATCTGGCTGTGGATAGGTATTGGTGTAGTTCAAGAGTGTATAGGTGTATGTGGATGTGGATAGTTGTGGGTGTAAGTGTGGAGTGTATGCATGTTGCTGTGGTTGTAGGTGACGTCTCAGTGTGAGTTTTCTGTTGGTGTGTAAAGATGCTCTTTCCGCTTACACCCACACCCTTTCTGATCACCCGTTAGTACATATTTGTACCAGACAAAAATGCATCTTTGAAAAACCTCGTCAAATGAGTGTGTGTGTGGGTGAGGGGAGCACAGTGGGCAGTAAACAAAGATCAGGTGTCAAAAATGTTTTGAATTTTGGATGTTATTTTTCAATAAATCTTTTTTGACAAAATAAGCATCTACCGATTTTATGCGTGCTTGATACACTATCAGGTAAAATAATACTCAAACTTGTCGTACTCTATGCTAACTGGGAAATTCAAATATATAGAAAAAAATTTTGTCGTCTAAGTGTTCATAGTGACGAAAGGAATGCTGAGTCCCCCTAGCCCAACATCTTGGCTCCGCCACCGGGGTCGAGTATTTCGCAACACCTTGCCAAAAAGATTCCATTTTCTTGTAATTTCTACTTTTTCACAAAACTTAATTGAATCTAAGAGTTACTTTTTGTACATCCAAATTCTTGAATTCTTCGTGCTCTTCCTCTTTCAGACATTCTATCAATTCAGGATATTGAAAGGATTTCTATTTACCAACACCCACCCTCGTAAATTCTCCACTATATACCTTGATGATACATCACTTTGTTCCATATGACTGCAGTAGAATGAGATAACATATGTTCAATAAAATCGAATGAAGATTTTGGTTCGAATCAAGTTGTGTAAAGAATGAAGGGAATAAATAATTTCTACGGAATTATATGAAGAAATTATAGATGATTCATTGTGACGATAGTCACAATGCATTTTTTCCACGGGATTAGATCCCATTCAAAGGGTTTGGTACTATTTTACTTATCCCATTAAGAGTGTGTAGGTATGGGTATGGAAATATGCATAAGGAGAAAACTAACACATATTCAATCATCCAACTCCGGCTTTGTTTGAGTGAAGACATTTTTTGTCTACTGTTCATCTTATTTAACTGCAAATCATCATTCATTTGCTTCTTCATTTTGCTACACTTTATTATAATTGGAGATACATAAGATACATATAGCACAATTTTTTTCCTATTAAAATTATTTCTTACACAAATACAGTATCAATTTTCTATCAATTTATTGAGATTATTTTCCTTTAGCTTTGAAAGCCTTTCCAATACGAGAAAAAAATGCCATTTACTTGAAACGCCAACTAATACGGCAGAGTAATATTGTTTTTGTTGTTGATACCATATTCACTTTGCGTTGACATTGGAAGGATGCACTATGCAATTTTTTTTATCTATTTATTCCATCTTTTATCAACGGTTGGTGCAACTGATGGCACTCTAGAAAGTGAGTGTAATGCTAACATTTTTTCTAAACCTATGCTTTATAACCTTGAACATAGTCTGCAAGATTTATTGAATTAATATAGTAGATATTTACTGCTGTCTTATTCAAAGTGATCACGACAGATCTAAAGTCGTAGTTGTTGATAGCTAGCATCGGAGTACAGCCTCGTAGCTTGTTGATCATTTTTTATTAATTTTAATTATTATAATAACGAAAATGAGCCGTAATGATTTTGACTTGACATTTAAAATGATTTGCTCATCAAGATGTTGCCCCAACAAATGACTAGTATAAAGAGAGTTCAATCGAAACTCGACATTCAATCAAATAATGTAATAAATTTAGGGAAGATCTTTTCAATTTCAGGTACTATACCGTCAATAAACTTCTCAATTTTGAACGCAGTACTCGGTGATGGAAATGTGTTCTTGACTTGGAATGAAGTACCCGGAGCGATAGGTTATTTAGTTAACTATGGTACAAATGCCAGAACTTCAACAAAAACAATGAAATCGACCGTCGGCTCTTATAAGGTTACTGGACTCCATAATGGAGCTACTTATTTCTTTACGGTAGTTACAATTCCGGAAACAGGACCTGCACAAAAAACGCCACAAATTATGGTAACACTTCCTCAGAGAACTGGCCCTCAACCTCGACAACTTGGCCTTCTAATTAATGACAACGATCCAGATAGTGTTATCCTCGGCGAGTACTATCGAAGACGTCGTAATATTCCTTTAGAGAATATTGTTCATTTGAATATTTCGAAAGTGATCCAGCTAAGTCGAGCTGAATTTCAACCTTTAAAAGTTCAAGTTGATTCGATGTTATCTGAAACTGTACAGGCACTTGCAATTGCATGGACAATGCCCTCGCGTGTTGAATGTAACTCAATTACGTCAGCATTAGCATTGGGCTTCATGGAAGGTCCTTGTAATACAGGAACATGCGCCTGGGCGACTTCATCTCCATACTATGCGTCCAATTCCACTCAACCGTTTAGTGATTTGAGAATGCGTCCAGCAATGATGCTCGCAGCACTGAATATTGAACAAGCCAAACAGTTGGTTGATCGGGGCATAGCCTCTGATGGAACACAACCACGGGGATCTGCTTACATAATGAACACGAGTGATGGAATAAGAAGTCTTCGAGCCAGAGTGTTTCCTTCCGGCAACTTAGGAACAAATTTGAGTTCTTATGTCGATGTTCAAATCAAAAATGCTGATTGGATTGCAGAAACTACCGATGCACTTTTTTATTTTCAAGGACTACTAGCTGTTAGCAACATTGATAAGAACACATATCCACCAGGTGCCGTAGCAGATCATCTGACTTCCTATGGTGGAATGCTAACTGATTCCTATCAAATGTCTGCACTTCAGTTTATTGCAGGTGGCACTACAGGAACTTTTGGAACTGTCAGTGAGCCTTGTGCCTATGCAGAGAAATTTCCCAATCCTACAATCATGATTTCGCGCTATACCAAAGGTGAGACACTCATCGAAGCCTATTGGAAGAGTGTATTGCAAACGTTTCAAGGTGTATTTGTCGGAGAGCCTTTGGCAAATCCTTGGAAACAGATCGTTTCTTTTCATTGATAAGCGATTCCTGTATTTCATGAACTTTGTCAGTCAGCTAACCACTGATTTACTACGACAATTGAAATAAATTCGTTAGCCACATTCAGCTGACTCTGATCAGAAAACTAGCAACGAGACACGTTTGTTAATTAAACACTTTGGAAGCTTGGCTTTTGAAAGAAATCAAGCACGAATATTAAATTATTTTGTGTAGATGGTTTGAATGAGTAGAATATCATGGCTAAAGTATTTTTCGATGAAATTCCGATAAATTTCAATTGATATCTGTATTGAGATCGATCATTTGTTTCTCAGATAATTCCATGTGACGGCAATACTAATAGATTATTTAGAGTCAAGCGTCAGAGAAAAAATTGACTTATCTACAATTATGAGTTCTTCTGATGAAAGTGATGAGCAAGTGAAAGCTTGCACATAACGTATATCAGTAGTAATGACTGCAACAATTGCTTCAACTGGCATTTAAACTTCCATATGACACTACTCGATAGATTTTTTACTTGAACAAGTGGAGCCACTGCCTGTTGTATCAATGAAAGAAAGTACAAGCACAAGCAATAACAAGAATGCGATCTTTCAATTTCGCTTGTCAAAGAGTAAGGGTTGAATTGCTAATAGAGCGAAATTAGAATATTTCCACATAAAAAAAAGATTTTACATTCTATTGTACGAATCTCGAATGTAGATTTTTCACTTCCGATGAAGATTGCTCTTGCCTTTATGAGTGCTTATAAGTGTTGTTCTTCTTCTTCTTCTTTGAGTCATGTCGAACTTCAGCAAAGAATTGTCATTATTGCGAAAGTATTACTCTAAATACATGACTTTTTTTTACCGCTGACTGAAGAACACATCATTGAAGCACTTGGTAATATTAGATAGGTTCGTTCACTTAATTGATGTGATCTTTTTAATGTTGCATGTATTCAAATAACAAATGACTGTTTAGTTAACAAAAGGCATTCAAAAAGCTCTAACAAATACGATTAGTGAGAGTTGTGAGTCGATATCAGAGCCTGACTAAGGGACATGACTAAATCAGCGCGAAGGATATGGTCAAACATTCGAATCATTTGAGCAGATCGTTTCTAAAGAAATTTCTCACTCAACGCAAGTATTAGTCATGTCAATAGGAAAAAGATTGGAGTATTTTCATACTAATAAACAAATCGTAGCAGCTAGTGATTCCGTGGTTTTCACTTGTAGACAGAGAAGTAAAAATTCGAACATTTCATATTTGTTCAGATAACGTTATTTCAGATTGTTCAATCAAAATTAATCAGTTCCATTGTTTGCATAAAATAGCCTTCCTTTCAACTTCCACGAGGCCGAATTCACTAGATCGTTCCGTGCGGAAATTATAAGTACTTCGTAAAGAGACCTGATTTCGTTCATTTGAACGTAAATGAGCTCGGAATGAACTTACATAGAACTAATAGTCGAGTATTTGGGATCGATAAGTAATGGTATTCTTCGGATTTCAAACGATCTGAAGTAACTGTATTGAAATTTTCGAAATTATTGGATTTATATACCTTATAAGTTCTACGATGGAAAGAAAAATGTTCGAACTCCTTGAAGTATTGAAAAAAAAATCATTTTTCTGCAAGAAAACGTGAAAGAAATACAGATAAACTTTCGATTTACCTTGTACTACAATTTTTGGTTTGAAATACTGATCGGGGCTTACTTTAAAATGCTTATAGCTTCCGAGCAGAACAACCTAGAGGGATCAATCTTGCGCAGGCCGAAAAGAAACTATTTTCTTTGCTAAATAGAAATATCTGAATTTAAAATGGAACTGGACAAGTTTGACTACTGTTCGGATAACTCAGTTATCAGAACTAAAATGAACCCTCAGGCAATATGATTAACCATTCTGCAAACGAAACCCAAAGGTCACTAGCTACCAGTGTCTCTCATTTATTACAGATACAAAACGATCTATATTCAACCAATCGGTAGTTTTGAACATTCAAGGTACGGAGTCAATTAGTAAATATTAAATATAATTTCTAACTGAATATCATACATATAGAGTTCCATCTGTTGAACTGATTGGTGAATTTCTCAAGCCATTTTTCTTGGATGCGATGTCAAAGTTTTGACAATGGCTGACTTTACTCACACAATGCCAAATCAACTTAGCAGTAGAACTAAACAAATTCAATATCAAACAAAGAGTCTGCTTCGATACCTTGCTCACACACATACTCAACGTAATGCAAGCGAAGAATTATTATACGTTGATGTGACCATAGCCGATATTTACTCAAATTAAACTTGCAGATGGTTTACAATGTCTATTCGTTTTCTCATCTCGATTCATTATTTCCCATATGCCCACCATATAAATCGATAAATAAGAGATTAACCGATACAGATCGTGTGATTCTTCATCAAAGCTGTTTAATGGTATAGAGGACAAAGATGTGCTAGTTTTATGTATATGAAATCACTGTTCATCGAAAGAATAAAAATTCCAAACTGTTCGTTACCCTTAGAAAAAAAATTAGCTCATTTCATTGAAGCACAGTGAAGATATTCATTTTTTTCTTTGGCTAATGACTTTCTGAACACTCTCTGTTAGCTGTTTTTTTTTCTTAATTCTGTGGATAAAATATTAAATACGACAAGAGAATTTATCTTATTTTTTTTCTTTTAGTATTATTTACTATTCATTGAATTAATTTCTAATGAAAAAATAAAATCCTGTATCACTTAGATTTAAAAAGGGAAATTCTCTATTTGTAGTTATACTAGTCGCTCATTAAAAATAAATATTTAAGACAAAAGAGTTGCTAGAAGATAAATATCAATTCGTATTTCAATTCATGTTGTTCTATTGAAAGATTAATCGAAAATATTTTTCGTCTAATCATTTATATTAATCATAATCGTACATTAAAAAAGAATTTTATATACGAAAGAAACAAAAAAAATAAATTATATTTTCATTTATTTATTCAATATAGATTTTACTTCACCATTAGGTTTATTAATGATAATAACAGAGTGTGGTTGCAACCCATGTTAGTGTGGGTATAGTGAATGAGTAGGAGCGCCTAAAGAAAACGCCAACAACCACAATTTCACTCGTATCCTATTCTAACTTAGCGGATCGCTGAGAAGCAAAATTTGAGACTAGCATATTGAACTTTTCTTTTCTTCAGGAGATAGGTTGGTCTGTTTTTTGATTGAATCACTCACGTGAGAAAAATTCGAGATGCTTGACTTAATCATAAAAAAATTCCATATACCATATAATCATGCAATTTCAATTGTCTAATCATGCTGATGTTACTGAGAAACATTCTATGAAAGTGGTTGTTTTGAAAAAACATATACTCTCAAAGTCATCGAGGGTTGTAGGTCACAAAAAGTCGATACCCTTGAAGTAGTTCTTTAGAACTTTAAATAACTTTTCCACAAGAAAGATAACATAGTCAAGATACTTTTAAAGGTCATGACGATCATGTTACACGATTTCGGATGAGAAGAAAAAGAATATGTTTTCTTTCGTCGATAAAAAAGCTTCCGCACGGAAAAATGAGAATCCCAATGAAAATGGACACAAAAAGTTTTCCTCGGTTATGTTTAGTCTTCTAGTCACTTGTTCGTGTTTGATCTCTCTTTTTCTTTTCTAAGTCACATGGGAAATTTTAAAAAAAACTTGATTGTTGTTTATGAGATGCACTAAAAACACAACAGCGTAAAAATGAACTGCAAAGGGCGTGCATGAAAAAATCATCTCTTCGAATTTCTTCATCTATCTTTTAATGCTACTCGAGTTTTAGAGATTGACTTTCTTCCTTTATGAATTCTATGTGATTTGCCACAGAGTTAAAGAGTAAACCGGCATGTCGGTCATGATCTGTGAATTAGGATGGAAGGGAGAATCGCTTTTGAACAGCTAGCATTAGTATCAAGAAACAAGGTAATCCATAGTTCTATCGAAAGAACACTGTGTAGCATGTTGGAAGAAACATTTGTCTCGTCATCACATAGGCAATTCATCAAAGGTGCTGGTAAACTGAAATTTTCATTATTCTTCAGGTTAAATCTGATAATTTGAAATAGATTGAATTTTACATTGACTATATTTGCTATCAACAGTACGAAAAAAAAAGAATGACAGTCATCATAATTGAATGACAAGCATGAATAACGTAGGGTAATTATTGCTCGTTCTATGATTGATCTGAATAAATTACGCGCATCAATTAGAAATAATGATACATTAAAGTTTGATGACATAAATGTAAGAATAATATTTCTGTCAAGACCATAAAAGCAACACATTTCTATTCATCCCTTGATCATTCAATTTTTTCGATTAAATCTACGAACAAAGTTTATCATCTCGTCATGCAAAGTGATGGTAATCTTGTACTATACTCTTCGGAACATACTACATCTGAAAATGCCATTTAGAGTTCAGAAACATCTAATAACAGTCAATTTGTCGGACCATATCGTCTTGCCATGCAGAATGATGGCAATTTGGTGATATATGATATATATGATAGCCCAGTATGGGTTTCTAATACTGACAACAAAGGTAGTCCATCATATCGTCTGGTCATTCAAAACGATGGCAATCAGGTTATTTACGATGGTAAAAATCAACCTACGTGGGATTCGATTACATGTCGATAAATTTTTCCTCAACTTAGTTCTTTTTTTTTACATCAAATGACTACATGAAATTCTTTCGCACTAGTTCTTGTCATGAAATATTTTTTCCAGAAAATGTCTTTCTCATCCACCATCTGTCTTCTATTCTTTTCTTGATCATATTTTCAATAAAAGTGAATCTAACTTTCTGACTTTTTTCTCACAATTTACTGTTTTTTTTTTGCAAGGAAATACAGGAATTATAATCATTCTCCTATCATGTAAGATAGTATTTGTTTGCCTTTGATGTATGATAGTTCGATGAAATTTTACTGAAGTGCAGCTGAAACAGTAGAGAAACCGATAATGAATGGGATATATAG